TTCAAGATATGATTTTGAGAAAGTAAAATGCCCCGTGTACATTACAATAAAAATACTGCATTTAAATCTTTGACTTACAATTATATGGACGTCGGGTCCGCGCTAAAAGTGTCCGAACTTATAGGGCGTTAAAATCGTATACAGAGCGTCATTCACGCTTTAGTCTTCGTTTGTTCGACTGACAGCGAAGCAAGCAAAATTAGACAGTACTGCGATGACATTACAATTTAAGTTTAACGTTTTTGCTTATTCATATTCCTTTACATGTCACTACGTTTAAATAGGTTGACTTTGGACATTTTTTTCGTGGTTTTTATATTAGACCCGTCGTCCATATAATTGTAAGTCAATGATTTAAATACAATATTTAATTGATTCCGTGGTCGAACGGATTGCCACGCAGTGGGCCCAGGTTCGATTCCCAGGCCGGGGTAAATATTTGTATGGCCTACATTTATTTCTCTCATGAGTTCGGGTGTAATTTGTAATGGTTTGTGTGTGTCCATGGTACTCACGATACAGGGTTTCCCTAGTGAGGCGCTACGTTGAGTGTGTGCGTTATTATTATTAAAATTTAACGTAGGCGAATAAAATATCTTTTTCAACTTCTTTTATGTAAAAAAAATTAATGCCATTGTATATAAAATTTAAAATAACGGATCTGAATCCATTCCGTATAGATTTCTGTTAAAAACTTTAAATTTTAACTTCGTAAAAAAGTTTAAATTCGAGGTATAATTAATACTCGTATATTACAATAATTAAGACACAGCAGCGGAGCAAATTTAGTCGTTATTCCTTAAATTGTAAAGGTGACTTTCGAAGGTAGGTGAGGGTGTAAATTTGGCCGTTGTCCAAGCCTACAGGCTTCCAGTTGGCAGAGATATCAAAGCCATTCATATTCGTTGTAAAGAACAGATAGTGTTTTGTTCTCTTCTACCTGCATCTCAGCATGGTCTGTGGGATTTTGAATAGCTCACGATTTTGATTGCCATTGAAGTTCGGACATGTGCCAAAGTGATTTGTAGGTACTGGGGATCGATTCAGGAACTTACGATAACTCAGTTGTCGACCGATTTCTTTTTATTTTTATTCATAACACCCGAATCGAACGTCGAACTCTCGTATTCGAAACCGAACCGAAATACCGTCTCTCCCATACGATTACTCGAACTTCTCGACCGGTAAAGGCTACAAACGTTTTTCAGAACGGGTCGTTTTCAGATAACCTCAAAAATGTGTCGCTTTGAATAACTTTTATATTTTTACACGAATGCTAAGCATTATTTATTTGATATAATTGCTTGTTTTCTTAGTCTGTGTTACACATAAAAAGCCTAATTTACTACGCCAAAGTAATAGATGAAAATTAAAAAGTGGGTAATTTCTCATTCATGGGAGCCGATTTCACGTCACCCTAATTTGAAGAAAAGAAGGAAAGTAATTAAATACTCGTGGAAATCTCAATATTTCCCATCGAGGATAAACTCTAATAACTTTCACGTCGAATACATACCGTATTTCTTTCAAATTTATTATAAACAAATACGTTTTTTAAAGAATGCAAAATGTGTTTCAAGTTTTCTTATCATTAGTGTCAATTTAACTAAAAGCCTCCTAATAACAAAAGTTCATACCGCATTACCTTCACCCTTCGCACACGTGAGAAGGGGCTACTGTCGGATTGGAGTGTACACAGTGAAGTAACCTGTGCATGTTCATTTTAGCAAAAAAACCTACTTAAATACCAATTTCAGCGCCAGTGACTAAATCATTCTCATTCATTTAAAGCAATCTATCTAAATAAGTATTAAGTAATAGTATTATAAACTTTATTGTACATCAATTAGACAACTTTAAAATCCACGTTCTTTTATAACGGTCCAACATATTTTACGACCTTCACAACTATAAATTTATCCAAATATCATTCTTGTCTACTTTTAAGTCAAATAGTTGCTTTAAGCTAAACATTTACTTTAAATATAATAATTAGATGGTGATAATGGTGGTGATGATGATGATGATGTAAATGGTGATGATGCTGATGGTAATGGTGATCACGATGATAATATATTTATGTACATACAATAAAGTTTATATGAAATTAACAAAATACTTATTTAAATTTATTTGTTTATTACATACAGATAAATAGATGGCCTTACACGGATGAGAAGGATTTTGATACAAGAAGTATATATAAAAAAAATTGTTACATGTTAAATGTAGTTTTGTAAAAGATAAAATGTGTGTTGTAATAATAATTTCTCATTACCCTGTCGTCTTTCTCATTTATGTTTATGAGAAAATCATTCGTGTTCCTGCAATCTCATTCGTGTGACCGAAAATACAGTTTTTTGTTGTATTTCACTTAAATATTTCTGTGATTTAATAATTATTGGCATTGTTTGAACTTATTTGTACGTTTAAGATCTTAAAACCAAAAGAAAAAAGGGTTTTTACAAAAATCACTCAAAAAGTGCCATGGAAATACGGAAAGTGCCATGGAAATTCACCCGAACACTGTTACCGAACGTCCTATTTTTTGCAGAAGCAAGAATGCAATATGGAAATCTCTTATCAAATTAAATAAAGTTTGGATTTTGTTCAATCTTATTAGTTATTTTAAGGCAAGACTAATGCATTCCTATATTTTAGGCTTTTATGGTCTTAAAAATATATATAAAAGGATTTTATTTTTTCTTATAATCTATTTAGTGTTTAGTGAATAGTTTGGAATAAGCCCTTCGATTCGAGAGTGATATCCAATTGAATGATTCCGTTACAATATCGAAGAGAGTTCTGAATCGGGCTCCAGGTTAGGTGTATAGTGGTCAATTCTCATTATAGCGTATGAGCCCAGGACTAACTCTGTAGATAAATAGAAAATATACTTAATCAACCCATTCATATGTTCCACTGCAGGGTGTGAGTCTCCTCTCAGGCGAGGGTTAAGGCCATAGTCAGCCACGTGGCTGTTTGTTTGTTTGTAAGCGCCATCTAGTTGATTTGTTTGTTATCACAAGAAATCAGGGTAGTCCGCTGGTATAGCGTCTGGCGCGGTATGCTCGAAGACGTCCATTCGAATCCGGCCGGATTGAAGGATTTTTTTCTGAGTGTTCGATCTTTGTGTTTATAATTATAACAAAAGTAGAGGAGTAATTTCACATAAAAATAATTGAATATCAAATTTAAAAAAGTTATTACAGTGATTAGCGACATCTCTAGCCAAGGCTGGTAGCTGTAAAGGTATCTAACTGGGTGACGAAATACTTTCATAAAATTGCAGTTAGTCAATGTAAAACTAATTAGTTACAAAAATAGCTATTTTGTACCTACTCGTCGAGATATCTGGCGTACTAAACCGGAGTACGCTGTCTTGTACCGCGCTTAGCAGTCGTCTTGGCTATACTAGACTTCCATTTTTCACTTCTTATCCTTACAGTAACCTACGACAATTCAGAGACTTCCCATTCCTATGTGTAGGGACATGAAAAAAGTATCGATACTTTTTGGTATCGAGTACTTTTCCTTCCGATACCAATACTTTTGTACTCGATACTGTCAGGTATCAGTACTTTTTACAAGTATCGTATCGTTTTGAATACTTCCTATCTAGGACACCATAACGCATTGGCCTCTTTATAAGAATGAGAATGAAGAAAAATAATTAGAAACATTTGAATTAACATACCTGACAAACATTATATTTGAGTACCTCGCAATTCCGGCAAAGTTTGTTCTTTCTTCAGAACGTTTGTTCTCAAAAGCAGGCAATACAATATTAAAAACGAGAAACAGACTGTTACCAAATAGGTTTTGTTTTTAACTGATTATACAAAGGAGGAGTGGAAAATTTAAGTAAAACTAATTACTAAATTTGAGTAACGGTTGATTGAATTGATCAATTGATCAATTGATATCTGAATCTCTGAATTGGTATCTTATTATATATTTTAATTAAAAATAATTAATCAAATAACAGATTTATTAATTCATGTGTTTTATTCAGAATTTAAATAGGGAAAATTTGCTGAACAAAAGTATTCCTATACCTTGAAGTATCGATATTTTGTTTTGATACTTTTATGAGTACGATACTTTTTATACTCACGAGTATCGATACTTTTGATTCTATGCTGCGTTCCTACACATAGGCTATCCTGGTAATAACGGCGTCTGAGGGATAATTAGCACATGTGGTGGGAGTTTTACTTTTAAGCGTCACTATATCGACAGGAGACGGTTACTTTGTATTTAAAAGTATTTTTTTTATTTAATTCAGGCCACATGATCCATGTAAAATATACCTTAGGGACTAACATACTCTATATAACTAATATACACGAATTGCAATTGTCGGCGACGTGTGGCGCATTCTGGTGTCAGGTAACCGGCCGATATACTTCGGCCAAAACTATTCCTTCATAAAGCTCGACAGATGTCCAGTCGGCACCCTAACCACCTAAGTAAATAAGTGCGCATTTGATCTCTATCTCACCTGCTGGAAAGAGACGATGGGGTCGACGATGTGGCATGCACGCTTAAATACAGTACAAGAACAGCGAAAAGACGTTGTTCTTTTCGCTACCGTACTGACTGCTGACGTGAAAAGCACGTCTTTTTCGCTTTTATTACATGGATGTAAAGTTTTTTTCTGACCAGTTGCGATTCCGCGTCCATATGTGTTGACTCCTTTTTTCCAGACGAAGTGATAGATGGTCTTTCAGAGTCACTTTGGGTTGCGCTGGTTGGCCAATTATGGTAGCGATAATATGTCATACCGTGATAATTACTCATAATCGTTTGTTTTAGTTTATGTTGTGTACGTTTCGTGGTTTTAGGATTACTTCGTAAAAAAAAGGTGAATGATTGTCTAGTTTTCTTCTTTCGAATTGCCAGTAGGTATTGTTTCACCGTTGGGTGGAATAAAAAAGTCCCAAATTTCCAGATTCAAATTTCTTCGGTCAATGGTTAAAAGTTTCTTTCGTTTACAGAGTACATCATCCACCCGCGAGCCGAAGCGTGGCTGGCCAGCTGTTCGAGCATGGTGCGTTGCGTGGTGGCACTCCGGGAGGGAAGACCTGGAGGACACCGAGCCGGAGGAAGAGCCCTCCGACCCCGGGTATACCACGCCTGTCTCTGTGGAGACACCACTTACGAGTTCTGTGTCCAGGTAAACCTTGCAAAAACTGTGAATACTTATTTGTAGTCCTGTAAAAACTCGTCGAATATATATTTTTTACAATTATATTAGTGTGTCGGGAAAATGCCCTAAGAGCAAAGATATATAGGTATACAGCCAGGGGGATGATCATTCCAAAAAGTTAATTTTAATTCAAGTAGTATATTTTTTCTACAAGATATTCAAAGACACTTATAGCCTTACTAGATGTTTTGTTGTAACAGATGTCCATCACTAAACGTCATCAGGGATCCTTACGCTGGACGCGGTGGCTCCAGCGGATCTGGAGCTGATGGAGGGACATCTCCTCTTCGAAGAACCTATGATACTCCCGGCGCCATTCCTGGTGCAGCTCGAGACAGCCGCTCCCTTCCTCCAAACACCCGAATCAACGCTACTACCTCACCAGCACCAAAGTCAGCATCAGCTGACTCTGTCTATACAATCCTCATAAGACTCCCTGATCAGGACACAGAAAGACCAAGCATTAAAATGATCACAGAAGAATCACCTCCAACAATCACAAGAACCCAGTTTCGAACTCCAACGAGAGGGGACTCAGAACTAAACCTTCACCCTTCAGGGCATCCTGCGTTGACGAGAAGAACGTCACATTACCAAGACGTGAGAATTCCCCTCAATGCCAAAATCATTCCAAAACAATTGGCTGGTAAAGGTATAACGTCTAAACAGCCGAAGAAGAAGAAAACGCAAGAAAAGAAGCAAGATACTAAAGCTGCAAAGACATTATCAGCTATCCTCCTCTCGTTTATCCTGACCTGGACGCCTTATAATATTCTAGTGTTGTTAAAGCCTCTAACAGCATGTACTAAATGTATACCAGACGAATTGTGGTCTTTCTTCTACGCTCTTTGCTATATCAACTCAACGATAAATCCAGTTTGCTATGCGCTTTGTAATACTACTTTCAGAAAGACGTACATTAGAATTTTGACGTGTAAATGGCACAACAGAAATAGAGAAGCAATGACTAGAGGCGTTTATAACTAGAAGAATCTCTGTGTGATTTGGTATGAGCTTCGTATGTTGAAGATTTAGAACGGCCCGACAGCATTGACAATCGAGGTCTGATTTTTTTAACGTAGGGTTGGTACCAAATTTATCGATTGCCCAATTTTGGTACCAATTTGCGAATCTTACAGATGACTTATACACGCCAGATTCTCCAATCTTTAGGCTCCTAACATACCTCTTTTATTTTACGCCCATTTAACTTTGATATAAATTTTTTCATCAATCAGAAGTAACACCTTTGTAGTTGCATGGTACATAAATATTCTTTAAAGAAAATTGAATTTAGACATCTTGCTACAGTGTAAAAAAAGTGACATTACCAAAGAAAAGAGACGTGACAATTCATTAATAATAATAGTCTTCTGTAATATTCGCAAAAAAATAAAGAAGCAGTTTAAAATATAAACTAAATTGTATTCTTAAAGAAAACTTTATTCTTTGGTCAAGGACTGTAGTTTTTTTTTGTAAGCAATTTTTAGTGAAGTATTTTCATTTGTGTTAGTGAGTTTACCGTCCCGTCCATTTGTAAAAGCATTTTGTAGGTTTTGTCATTGCAATGTTTCGGATTAAATAATGTTTATTAATACTGAACTTTTACGTGAACAACATAAGTTTAAGTTTTCAACGGACGAATCTGTGATTTTTAAGTTATATAATCCAAAACAATGCAAAATATTTTGGGAGTATTATAATTTAAATTTTTTATTCTCGACGACTTCTCCTGTTATAAGAAGAAGATTAACTTAATTTTATTTTAATTAAAACCGGAAAGTTTGTTAATGCCGAAATATAATTAAGAGTGGTAGAAGTAAACAGTGTCGATGATAGAAATATTATTCTAAATCTGGTAGAAATTGTGAAACCGTTAATACAGGGTCATATTTTACTGGTATACTGCATTCAAACTTCTTATTCTTGATGTTTGGGAAAAACTTGAAGTCTCTGAAATGAATGATTTCTTGTAAGAATTGGTAACTTTACAAAATTGTTTGTTTTAATTTTACTCGTTTTTATGGCAAATTCCTCTAAGAAGAATGACTGAGACACTCTAGAGGTTGTTTGAAACACAATGGTTGTTGTAGAACTAACCTAAAAGAGCTGAAGGTAAACGTACTCGTAAAATGATGTTTCAGACGCACCAGATTCAACCAATAAGATATTTTGAAGACTGCGGCTCAGAATGACGAATTACCAGGTTCTGGTTTAGATCAGAACACTCAGGTGTTTTTGGTGAATTCTGTTGCTCATAGACGGAGTTCCGTTATTCATGATCGAGAAATTAAAATGGTTATCTGGTACATTGCATGAATTTGTTTTTAATAAGTTTAGTTGCAGCCGGAGAGCTCTTTCTTAAATACACATTTGTATGTACACGAACGTAAATCAACTTCTTCTATCTAAAATTACAATCATGGTAAGGCCAGTTAGAATACCTTTACACCATTTTAATATGATCCTGTATAGTAACAATGTCTCTAGTCAAAATTCTTTATGGTGTTCTGATTAAAGTTGAGCTTCTAGGGTTAACGTCGACGAATTTAGGGGAGGGATAATTTTAGCCTGATTTCAGTTAACCCCTTCATTCATTAAGCGTGTGTTTACTTTAATCGGATCGGACTTGGATTTCGGATGATGTACGCATGATTTGTATGCAGGGTTTGGTGTTGCTTACTTTTTTACAGGTAATGAGAAATGTGTCAATGTAAATGCTTCTCTATACATATTTTGGAAGAGTATTCGAAAGATCGACGTCTATGTCTTTAGTCTTTGTTTTATCGTCACCATGTTGGACATAAGCCTTTCCAAGATTAATGAGTTATTTGCCTTTGGAGTTCTGTTCCTCAACACGATTTTGATCTACGGGTCATAGCTATGGCTACAAGGGAATGCTCAATTCACGTTTTCTCTAGTTTGTTTAGTCCATTTCGATGGGTGGATAAATACCAAATGGGTGGATAAAAAAAGAGGGGAGTTATAAGTTTGACACCTTTGTCTATGTATACGTTTGTCTGTCCGTCTGTGGCATCGTAGCTCCCATACGGATGAACATTTCTAGGAGCTATAATTTTTTTTTCTTGAAGGCTAATTTAATTGGGTTCCTACTTATGTTTGATAAACATCTGTTCAGTTGTTTAAAGATCATCAGATCACCAAGATCATCCCACTCATAAAATTTACTTCTACTCTACGATCGATTTGAAGTTTAAAATAGAATACATAGTGGGGAAATGAAAATGCTAAGATAGGCGAGCGGCGTTACAAGACTAGACCACGTCAAAACATCCACATCAGAGGCAGTTTTGAAGTGAGGCCTGTCCCGGCAAAAGTTGCTAGAGAGCCGACTTAGGTGATACGAACATGGTATGCGACGACGGCCTGACATGACAAGGAAATGACTTAAGGACATGACTCCTTGACACGAGTTACCAGCCCTCACATGGATATTCCTTGTTAATAAAGATCTGCAAGAGCAACATTTAAGACCACTGACGACCTAGGATTGACCTGACCAGAGTGACCAGAAGGGCCGACCATAAATAGGAATAAGACCAGGCAAAAGAAGAAGATCGATTTGAAGTTTGTGATACTATGAAAATCCGGTGACGTTACAATAAACTGGTAACCTTGATCGTTAACTGCAACCAGAGCGTCTGCAGGCTACCCAACTCCTTAACCACAGTAGAAGTATCGCATTTGGGCTCATGAAGTTGATCTCGGCGAGTTGTTACCTTATAGATGGTGAATTTTTGGATTGTTTTTTTTGCAGTACACTGTTTTTTACATTTTAATTTATGTGTTATCTGTTAATATGACATAAGTTTCGAAACCTATATCGTGACTGCAGTAAGGGAAAAAAATTCAAGACCGATTAGATTTCTGTAAATTGCCTGTCTATTCCATACTTGCATTCATCATATTATATTTAATTTTACGTTTTCCCATTATTGTCAGTGTTTGTATGATATCTATTAATAGAAACATTGAAAAATGTTTCTGCGTTTCTGTCTTTTATACTTAAAAAATGAATTATAACCAACCGCGTTATATTCATTCTTGCAACTTCTACTTATAATTATGTTGTGATAGTATAGTCTAGTTATTTAATTAATGAAGCTTTTCACGTACAAAATGTTATTATAATTGCCTTTCTCCGATATAGACCAAGATACAAATATTTGTGGTGGAATTAACAATTAGTGTTAAGTTACAGCGTGCAGGATTGTGGGAAAATGGACTCTATTCCATTAATTTAATAACAACGTTGAATATTCATATATAGGTAATAAATACTTTAATTTGTCATGGACGGACGTAATTTACAGTTTTTATGGAAATTAATTAACAATAATATAATATGGCAGACTAATACCTGGTCTAACTAACACTCAGACCAGAACTTAGGTACTACCTTTTAACCCAGAAGTTCATTTCCTACCGGGGATCGCTTAATAGCAGTAGAGCTCCTTATGAATGAGTTCAGTCCAGGGAACTATTGCCAACACTTCTATCGCCAAGCGGTAAGAGTGCGACAGAGAGAGATGCGAGAGAGGGTGCGTGTGTGGGATGAAACTATAGGCACAAGGGACTTGTCAGTTTTATGTATCAGGGTCAGATCTTTGCAATTAAAAGCGGCGGAAATAGGTGTGGTGGTAACTCACATGCTCATGATCTGGTCGACTGATTGCAAGGAAAAAAAGAACAAGACACGTTAACAAGATTCCTTTGAACTTAAATAAAATACAAACTATAATGGTCTTCAATTTTTCTTTATTCCTCCACGTGCGCTAATCATACATCCGAGGTTTATTGTTATAAGTCTACCAAAGCTGCTTGGAGAAAAACCGAGCATGAGCGACGAGTAGCACTGTGTTGTTTGGACTAAGCGGTTCAAACTGTCGTAACTAGTAGAAGTATTTTTTTTCTGGCAATGTATTTATGTATAAAAAGATATACGTCGATCAACGAAGAACGTTCGGTTTTGAAAGCTAAGTAATATAGTATGTCTATCACGATCCGTGATTTTACAGATTTTCTCGTACGGCTAACGACCTCCGAGAGCAACACACTGGCACCGCCCATTTCATATTAATAAACCAATTATCAATGACTAGCATTGCTGCTATTTTTTAATTGGCTTCACATTCGCTATGCGTTGGTAGTATCGTATGGTACGGTATGGTCTAACGGGCTGCTGTCTGCAACTCGACCTCTGGGCGCCTATTTTACATGTGGTGGGTGCAGGATCCTACTCAGGCCACGAGCCCATCCCAGAATATCGGCATCCTCTCCATCCATCTGTAATCCGCCACATTGCATTGATCCGTGCACCGCCATCACGTAGTTACTACAGATACGTTATCCCATGGTGCGGGGGTGTGAATTAATCGATGAAATCACGGACCGTGTCAGGCTGCCTTTACTAAGGCAGCCTGACACGGTCCGTGAATAAATTACAGATACGACAATTGGTAGTGTTAATTTATTCTACAATCCTGTACGCAACTTGCGTGTTTATAACGAATAATACTGTAATATGAGAGAGTTATAAAGCCTTGTTTTTGTCTGCGTAAATGTTGTTCTATGTAAGTCTTATTAGATAAAAATTCTAAGCAATATTCACTACAAATTTCATGTAAGATATTATTATTATTATTAAAACGTTTTATTAATTAAGTGGATAAAAAAAAAATTATATTCAATAACTCTTCGTATTTTGATGGTAATTCCGTTTCATGCCTTTTTAAACCTTATTTCATGAGACATTTAGTCTCTTTCTAAAAATCATACAACGATTTCAAGTTAATCATTTAGGATCCCTTAAATATCTTTAGGATATTCTTATAGCTCACTTTTTATATGACGAAGTTGGTTTGGCGTTCTAGACTCCCGGTCCCGATTTAAACTCCTGGTTGAACCAATTAAGGAAACGAATTTTAAACATAGATGTACTGTGTAGCGATCTTAGAGTTAGGTAT